TAAATATTGGGAGAGGGGGGAGGCAAGGAATTTGCATTTTAGGCTTCTATGTCTGGTTTCACTGTGTCATACTGGATGTTTCTGTTTTGTTTGTGGAGCTACTGTCTGTTTGCAGTGTCAAGGTTCCTTTTAATTAGTTTTTGGCAAATGTCTTTATTTATCTCCAAGACACAGCTGAAAGGAGAACTAGTGAGATTGTTTTTAGAATTAGAATTTTGCTAGTGAGCAAGTTTCTTTATTAAGAAGAGCTTGAGTTATAACGGTGAGCTCCGCGCCAGCTCCTGGAGGTTTTGTTGGCACTGGCTCTCAGCTGGGGTGCACTGGCTTTCACTTTCCTGTAACTTCATGGTTCCTTTGTTAATTCTTTTGCCGAACAGCAGATATCATTTGAATTATGCAAGAGCTCTTGTGGTGAACTTCTTGAGGTTGGTCAGTTCTGTACAGATGTACACTATTCCAGAGTAATCCTTCATGTGAATTGGAAAGGTATCATAACCTCTTGAAGTAGCTTACTAGAGTATGTTAGGATTACAATGTGCAATGTGCTGAAATTTATAAGCTATCAGAATTTCAAGTTATAGTTTTTAAATCATGAACCATTTTGACATAGGTTGCAGCTCAATAGCTCAGCGATTCTCTCTCCCATTCCAGTCAAGTTGTCTTGACATTAAAAGAATATGGACAGAGTTGGCCTGTAACATAGCCGTCAGGTGTCATCACAGACAGAGGGCTCGCGTGGTGAACAGAAAGGCTGTTTAATAGTCAAGAGTGGGGTGGCCAACCCTTGCATCATTTCCTTAAAATCATCAATTCATATAAACTTGGAACACATATGGTTAAATCAATTCAGTCAATAAACAGGTTAAATTAAGCATGTTGTGGTTCTTGCTAGTTACTGGGTGGTTGTATTTTCGTTTCAGATAATCTCTGAATTACTCATTTGAACCAATCACCTGCTTCAGTGCTCAAAATGAAAATGATTTTCCAAATGCTCAGTTAAAGGTTGAGCCATAAAATCTGCTGGAATGTGGCTCTTCCAGACTTGGGAGACACTCCTATGCTAAAACATAACTAAACTGTTTTACATTGTGATGGGGAAAACATTAAAATAGGAAATTATTAACTAGTGGATTTTTAAAAAGAGAGAGACAGGATTTTATTAACATTATGTTGCCCACTAAAATGGTTAAATGTCTTTCCTGTGTAGCACATCGTTTGAAATCACATCCTTGGCTGTACCCATTTTAATTATTGTTTTTTTTTTAAATGATCAGTATTATTTAAAAAAACACAGCTGAACACAAGAGCAGTTATTATGTGCCCCTGAAGTATATTGCATCTATTTAACTTTTTTAAAACTAATCAGTATATACTGTATGATGATGATGATGATGATGATGATGTTATACGGTCAGTCGGATCCGACTCTCTCGCCACACTTTCTGGTCTTGGACTTTCCCTTTCAGCTGTTCTATGTATATAACACAGCTATTATTAACTAGTTGTAGCTTGGAAGTGATACAAATTATTTCAGTTGTTTCAGATTAATTGGAAAATATTCGAACTGTAGCTTTTATTCCATGTCAATTATAATTCAAATGGACTGATCTTATTTTATATGATTACTGCCTTAATCCCTTTGAGAGGTCTAAAATCCATTCATGTAGTGATATGTAGTGATCCATACAGCCATCCATCATAGGGCAGACACACAGATACACACCAGGGCCAACATTCTCAGAAGCCAGTTAACTTACTGGTATGTCTTTGGAATGTGGGAGGAATCTGGAGCCCCAGGAGGAAAGCCACATGAAAACAGGAAGAATATACAAATTCAACTCATAGCACCGCAGCCCTGGAATTGAACCCAGGACCCCAGCGCTGCAATGTGGAAATGATAACCATTGTGCCACTGTAATGCACATCCATGCAATTTTCAAAATTACTTATGGATAATATAATATGGATAAAGAAGCACAGAGCAAAGGCATTCACATTTGTTTGCTAACATTACACCATATTCTTCTTCCTTGATTGGTATTCTTAAAAGCTAGAATAAAGGATCAGAGTCATATAACATAACATAATCTGCATGTGAAGCATAATGTAGTGGTAGTTAAATGTCTCATGCAGTATTTTTGTATTAAGGTCCAATTGCTGTTTGTGGAATTGTTTAAAATGCCATCACTTCCACTGGATAATTAATTCAATTTGTTCTTACCACGTACCTGTGTTTCATCTGCTTTACGACACCTAAGAGGAACCACTCACTTTCAAATGAAATCAGACGAGACCATTTGGCTCTATGTATTAATTTGCTTAGTGGCTACTATTAGCTGATTGATCCCAGAAAAGTGATTGCAGAGAGTCAGCTTCAACCAAAACTGAAAGCCTAATAGGAAATGCCTGAGAGATTTGACTGAGTTACTTCAGGGTATTTAAGCTCTTCCTTCTCATTTGAATTGTTTTGCAAGATAAGCAAGCTTAAGCCCGCCGTCAAGCAGGGAAATTAATTTTAACATTAATTCCTAATGCAATTAACATATATGATCTTTCCTTTTAAAGTTAAGTATGTATGCTGCCTTTATTTACTGTCGATATCTGAGTTGTTTAGGTAGCCTTAAAGGTCAAATAGTGACTGCTGAAAATAAATATGGTAGCATACTTTGTTGTTCAGACTTGTCGTTCATTGTTTGGCAAATTTCTTTTTCAGAACAACGGTATAAAAGTACACTGTCAACACTATTAGGTCAGTTGCTTAAGCCTTCAAATATGCCATTTGGTGTGCCTCACAATGTATTGACACAGACTGATATTGAATAACTCTTGCCCAACTGAGCATAGAGTGCATACTGTACACACTATTGACTGTGCAACAACAAGATCCATGTATTAGTGGCTGAGGTGGAAGAACGAAGACAGATTAAAACTCTTTCCTTTTCCTGAAATGGAGTTAAATTTGTAACAGGAGATGGAAGTTTGTGCTAGTTCAAAATCCAGCTTTTTGTGTAAGGCCTTATTCAGTCACATGTAGCGAGCACTTTGAAAGTAAGGATTGTCCTGGCAGATCTGTATGTACACACACTTACTCTACATGTAAATTGATAACCAGTAATTATTCTGTGATAGTTAACCATCCTTCTGGGGTAGTGGAATTCACTGCTGTGTGTTCAAGTTCAAAGCTGAGACATTTTTGAGAACCAGGGTACGAGTAGGGGAGGAATCTACTTAAAGTACCTCACATCCTACATTTTTATTTATTCACACATACACAGAACAAGCTTGCCTTTTTCTGATTGGAAACATTCATGTGCTCCTTAAATGTAATCTGCTTGTCTATAAATTATTGGAGGAAGAAGATACTTTACATGTGAAGTTGATGAATGGATTCAAAGACCTTAGGAGCTGTTACGAAAGTTGCGTTTCAGATCTTTTTTTTGGTGCTATTGACACCGATTGCTGTCACTTGCTGTTTAACTAAACGTCAGCTTCTTAACAGCGTTCTTGAATTGCGGATGTAAAGCTGTTTAATTATAATTCCTATTCTGCTTTAAACAGTTTCCTAATGATAGCTTTCTTGAAAGACAAGTTTTGTACTGGGACCCCTGCTGGAGCTGACTAACAAAGTGGAGATCATCTGATACTTGTAAATTTGGTTATTTTTAGCCCGTGGCTATTACAATCTAAATTAATATTAATTATGCATGAAATTATAAATAGGGTTGCTGAGCCTGCTTGGGTTTTGTTAGAATGTATTATGTACATAATTCTGTCTGTAGGTATTGTGCTGTAGTATGCACTAGTATGTAGACTGCGGTAATCAGAAAACTCAGGCATGAAACTACCGTCATTTTTCTGTTTTTAGTGGTAAATGTTTTCATGCCATAAAAATATATAAACTGTAAAAATACAGTTTGCTGTAACATATAATACAGATATGTCCTCACTTTCACTTCATTATTCTCAACAATGACCCCTCAGTCTTCTTCATTAATGAATTAGTGACTTACAGTAGCAGAGCTGTATGAATAATTTAGAGAGTGCCACTCAGGTTTGTCTTAATCTGTCAACTGTATCAATGTCAATAATCTAGCAGCTCTTAAACTGCTGTTGGAAGTGGAAATTTGAGTTACAACACCCTGCAATTTTCAGGACTTAAGTTCTTTACAACCTTAAAGTCTAAAAATCTGTTTATAGATGCTCACTGTATCTTGAGCTTTCCTTAGGTGAGCTGTGGTTGGATATCATTGTATTGGTGGTCTCAAGTAGGCATAAAGCCTGCTTTGAGAGAAAACATTGTGTCATATAAAAGTTAAACAAGCCTTTTAATCTTATATGGCTGAGACAAGGCTTGCTTAATCTTGTAACTGCTCACCCTGAAGGGCCATTGTACCACTGGAAGAAAAACAGAACTTTAGCAAAGTGAAATATTGGCAGTGGCAGCTGCTGCTGTGTCCTTGATTGCTAGGGCCATTGTGAAAAACAGACAATTAAAGATTCTGTAGTCTGGTGACGGGCTGCAGTGTAGACAGAATAAGTGTGCCCCATGATGAGAGTGACAGGCAACAGCTAACTACAAAACTACTGTTGTTTTATATTGGGCTGGGCGGAGTGGTGCAGTCCAGGCAGGTGGAGACCCTAGTATTTATAGTACTTCAAAGAAGCTGGGTTATAAATGACATTGTGGTACAAATTTACTGTGAAAACCCATCTTCCTTACACCAGCATTTCCGTGTCTCTGGAAACATTAGGGGCATGTTTAACTTCTGCCATAATACAAATATAGCACTGGGTTTGTACACATGAAGTCAGCTGAAACCCCATCCAGAGACCTGGACATATTTACAGTACTGCTTTGCTGTGATTGCATTCCGTCCAGTCAGGTAGGTATCTGTAAGTCCCTGTACTTAATGTCTGTTACTAGGCTGTGCTGTTAAAAAAACAGTTTTTTATTTCTTTTAACTTTTAATGAGTAAATCCATCATCAACTAGTACACAGCAGTGTGTGACAGGAAAGATCATATTACCTTTGCATGTTTCTAGTCTCTTGACTGCTCTTACTTCATTTTGCTGGAAAGTACCGTATGATGGAAATGAACCAACACATAGCCTGAGTGGCCTGAAACTGCACCTGGATTCAAGATTGTAAGAGAAGTATAAAGTGCTTTTCAGTTTTTTAAAAAACATTAACATCAGTAAGAGAATATAATTATACATTAAGTAAGCTGTTTTTACATAATGTGGTACATGTTTATTTGAAGTTCGAAGTACTGTACAGTATGTTGTTTGGATGTGGTCCTCATTTTAAATTTTGGTTATAAAAAAAACTTATCTGTGAACAAAAATAACTTTAGCTTTACCACTATGTAACTGAAATACAGTAGATGTTCTATTAATAGATTTATAACTTGCCTATGGTAGTTGCATTTAAATATCTACCTATTTTAATGTAATCCAGATGTTGACATGATTTGAAATGCTCAAAAATAATGATTTCTTTAAGAATATTACTAAATCTAACGCAAGAAAAAGAATACTAAATCTGTTCATGTTGTTGTTGTTTTTTCTTCTTCTGTTACAGTGCTGTTTAATCACTCTAGACAGTTTTTCCAAGCTGAGTTTCTGAGCTATGATGTAATCCTTATGTTTAGATTCAGAGAGCTGGGAAACACCAGGTCGTAATCTTACTTTGGCTATGAGACACTGAGTTCCCACAAGCTATAAAACAACACACAAAACAAGACAACAGAGAGTCAGTAAAAGGAATCCTCACCTCACTACACTTCATTGACTCCTGAGGTGGCCAACTGGCTACTTTCAAAACTGGGCATTTATAAGAGTGAGCCATGCAGGACCTGCTGTTGGCACTAAATCTCAGCCTATTATGTTGCCTGCCGACAGTTTGAAAAGATGCGTTTGTTGGGACAGTGGTCTCCCGCTAATACTTTTTTGTTCCTGCAAAGTATAAGTGCAAAAGTGAGACAGTTTAAATAATTACAGGCTACCCCATATTTGGCAAATTTAGCGTGGTCATTAGACATTAGGAATGACCCCAAAAAGAAAGACTGGGTGCTTGATTTTTGTTGAATTGTCACTGTAAATAATGTGTCATCATTAAAATATCATGTTATACAACTCAGAAATCAATTGCACCTTGAAATTATTTACTTTCAATCACCATTATTTAGAAGTTACCTTTGATTATCTGTTGAGTAGTAGTATTTTGGCCTAATTTGTGCTGACAGTTCTGGATCTAATGAGTGGCAGGACACATCATCAATTATATTTCAGTAGTTTGGTTAGATCCTAATAAACGCAAGAGAGAGACTACATACTGTATGTAGAGTGTATTTGGCTCATCTCGCCTGGCTGAGGTAATTGGCAGCTTGACCCGGGGGATGAGGCTGTCTGTACCCCCTCAGATTGCGAGGATTGAGCCAGGGAGCTGCTGCAGGAGTGTAGATGGGGTGGCGGGAGGGGTTTGAGAGAGATGTGTTATGGGAAGTCCCAAGAAGCTGGGGAGTGAAAGTGTATGAGATTAGGATCCAGCCTTCTTCCCAAATTTCTATTTTAACTTTTCTATTTTAATTCCATTTCAGTAGTTTGGTTAGAGCCTATTAAATGTGAGAGAGATAACATATGCAGAGTACATTTGATATACTGTAGCTCACCTGACAGAGGGAACTGGCAGCCTCACTGTTAAGATGAGGCTGCCCTGACCCCCCTCAAAAGAATCCCCCAAAACACAGACACAGAGTTCAAAACACTCAGCTAAAAGTAAGTGAGTTAGGTTGTGCTTTTGGTGGAACTTATTTTTACTGCTTATTACAAATGACAGAACAAGAAAGGTGCAGTGGTTCGGATCCAGTCTTGAACAGCATATATGCTGCATGTGTCAGAACTCAGGTCAGCCAACAGGTGGAATAGGAACCACCTGCTGACTCGTGCAGGTGAGCAGGATGCCATTTTCTTGGTTTTTCGGTTTCCAGCTATGCCGTATGATTGCAAATTCATAATTGTGTTTGTATTCCCGGTTGCCATGGTGACTTGGCACTACCTGTCTGATGCAGAAATGGTGGACAATGGACAGGAGCTACTGTACGAGAAGGGATACTGGCTAGCAGGCAGCTGTACTAGCTAGATTGAGATCAGAACTCTCTGGTGTCAACCACAAGAACTACTGGCTTGGAAGAGTGTCCTGGTGCAGAAGCATAGGAGAGCTACAGGAAATAGCTGTCTTTAGCTAAAATAGGAGAAAGTTTTAAGCTGAATCCCCCCAAAAGAAAGGAATATTAGCAACATATGCAGCAAGAGGCAAGGGAAGAGTTGAAAACTAGTACTGACCAGTTGGGCACCAGCAAAAGAGAGGCTGATGACAGAGAGGACCTGTTGCTGTGGGTGAACGAGGAAGCCCGGGTCCAGTGCAGACTGCTTCTGTGAGCTCAAGCCCACAGGGTGGAGTGGGAGTCAGTGACCAGGGGCTCCTGCAGTGGCTTTTCAGAACACTGTAAAATAAAACTGTTTCATGTAAAGTAAACCCTCTGTTTAATGGACAGACAAAATCTGCTAAAGTCTGTAAGAAAAACCAGGCTTTTATCCACAGTAATATATTGCTTATATTGTGTGCATTTCATATGTTTAAGTGATTTTGAAAAAAAACAACATAATTTAAAAAATGCACTCCTAACAATTTAGAAAAAAGCTCTACAAAATGCACATATTATAAAAAGGTAAAAATAAATACTACATAGTTTTAAAATTCAGGAATATCTAGATAGATACTTTATTCATCCCGTAAGGGAAATTGCAGTGCAACAGCAGTTTAACACAGACAACACAACAACAGTGTAACTAATGAAACAATAATAATAATAATACAAAACATACAATACAATCAGTACAGTAAGAAGTGCACTAAGAAGAGTTACTCACAGTCCAGAACACACAAAGAACAAACCAGAACAGAACAGTACACAAAAAGTTGTATTACACAATATAAATATAAATGTCTTGCACAGGTCCCTGGCATATATTGTACGAAAACGGTTGTCAACAGGAAAAAGAAAAAGAACAGATGTATCACTTTACTGTTCTGTCCAGAAACAGGTCCATGTCAATGTTGCCTCTGCCCAGACGCAAGGTGGATGCGTTGTACAGTCTTATGGCAGAAGGCAAGAATGACCTCCTGTAGCGCTCCCTGTCGCACCGTGGATGAATCAGTCTATTGCTGAACGTGCTCTTCATTTCTGCAAGCCTGTCATAGAGGGGATGGGAGAAGTTGTCCATGATGGCCTCTTGTTTGGACACCATTCTCCTCTCAGCCACTACCTCCTGGGGGTCCAGGCCAGACACAATGACAGAGCTTGCTCTTCTGATGAGCTTGTTCAGCCTGTTAGAATCCACTGCTCTAATCCCAGAGCTCCAGCATACCACCGCGTAGAAGATGGCACTCGCCACAACCGACTTATAGAACATATGTAGCATCTTATTACATACATTGAAGGACCTGAGACTCCTCAAGAAGTAGTCGGCTCTGACCCTTCTTGTAGATGGCCTTGATGTTCTTAGACCATTCCAGTCTATCATCGATGTGCACTCCCAGGTACTTGTATGAGTCCACTATCTCCACGCCACTCCCATGGATGTAGACAGGAGTAGGTTTGACCCTTTTCCTCCTGAAATCTATCACCAGTTCCTTTGTCTTTGCTACATTCAATTGGAGGTGGTTCTTCCCACATCACTCCACAAAGCTGCTGACCAGTCCTCTGTACTCTTCCTCCTCCCCACCCTTGTTACATCCCACAATTGCAGAGTCATCTGAGAACTTCTGCAGGTGGCACGACTTTGAGTTGTATTTAAAGTCCATAGTATAGAGGGTGAAGAGGAACGGAGAAAGAACCGTCCCCTGAGGAGCCCCTGTGTTACTTACTACCTGTTCAGACACACAGTTCTGAAGTCTCAAAGACTGGTCAGATAGTCAGTGATCCATCGACATCTCCACCAGCTTCCTCCTTAGAAGAGCTGGATAGTATTGAAGGCACTGGAGAAGTCGAAAAACATAATCCTTACAGTGTTGCCAGCTTTGTCCAGGTGTGAGGCCCTTTGCAGCATGTAGATGATTGCATCCTCCACACCAACACTGGGGAATGGCTCTCTGTAGGGGTAGGTCAGTTGTTTACCATGGATGCTGTTGGTTTTTTATATTCTTTAGCGAACTTTAGGCAGTATATTTATAACATTTTCATCAACTGTCAAAAGATCCAGAAAGCATAAAGTTTATATGGTATATATTTATCATGTAAAAGTGTGTTTTTGGGCTGGAAAGATGTCATTCATGATTTAAAGGACATTTGGCAATAACTGACATATCTTCCTCCCATTGATTTACCATGCATTTACCATTTCAACAGCTTGATTATCTTAGACAAATTTTTAGGATAAATTATGTTTACAAAGTTTACAGAGGTTACCAAGGCAGGAGTAGCTTCAATGCATTTTTCCTTTTTTTCTCATGCGATGTCTTGATTATGGACTTAATTTCTCCCTGAAATAGATTTCTATGCCTTCCGAAGGTGAATGGACTCATGTCTCATGACTTTACTTAAATATAAGGTGGCTTGTCTATTTAAACACAGTTTCTTGCCAAAAATAATTCCCCAAATTAAAGAGTTCAAGTGTTAGTTTAGCCAGTCATACTGGCAAAGCCAAATACCAGAACAACAACAACATAGATCTTTCATGATAACTATTTTTTTTTGTTAAAATGACAGAATACAATGCAAATAAAGAAATAGGTGTTTTTATTAGTATCCTAATCTGTGTGGAATGCATGATCTGTGAGTTTTTGAGTGCATTCAGACATTTTTTTAGATTAGAGATTTGCTGGTATTGTATGTAGATGTGGAAAGAGTGGCTGTGTATCTTAGAACAGTTATTAATTTAGCATGATTTTTAAGGCATGTGCGCTT